GGAATGGGGAGTTAAAATCGATTTTAAGTCATGTACACCGGGGACCACTTAGAATCGATTTCAAGTGACCAAATATCCGAATCCTAGATTGATGGAAGCAACACTTAAAATCGATTTTAAGTGAACAAAATCCAGTGTTTTTCTTGATTTCACAGCCAGTTCCCCTGCACGCAACGGGAGTGCCTGCAGATCCGGGATCCAAACCTCAAAGGCTCCAGGCAGATTGGTAGTTCTAGGGTTTAGGGTTTAGGGTTCCCTTTTTTTTGTGCCTTTTTCCGCGAGGTTTAAGGGTCTTAGGGTTTAGGGTTGTAGTGTTTAGGTTTAGGTTTTTAGGGTTTAGCGTCCAATTTTGTAGTTTCCCTGAATAGACGGGACCCCAATAAAGACCCTGATATGCTACAGGCCCTGTTATAAGATTTCCCAAACAAGGTACACCCAATTAAAGGACTCCCCCCGCCACTTTGTTACCCCTAACTATGAGATGCAATAGTATAATCTCTGACCAAAAGAGGCCATAATTTTTGAGAACAACCCAGATGTCACCAAAAAGAGGTAGATGAGGAACGACCGAACTAGGCTTTGCTTGCCCCTTTGCAGATTGTGGAGCTGAATGCCGAAATATTCACAACTGTAGGGGTTTGCAAGAAGAGTGCAACTATTACCAAACAGCTGACAACCTGCATGCCGAGAAGTCTCGTCAATACCAAACCTGCATCTGCACTTGTCCCCTCTTTGCCTCATACCCCTGCGTGACACAATCAAGTCTCTAAGGTTGAAACCTGGAACCCTAGTATGGGCCCTTATCCCTGGCATGAGTCTACCTAAAATGCAAAAGCTAACAGATCCATGCAGCAGGACTGGGCCCGTTGTGGAGCGTTGCCGGGTGTCCTTTGCAACTTGCATCTGTTTCGGGAAGCATATTCAGCAAAGCTGTCGCCGCTGCAATCCTTATAGAACATGCTGCGGCTCATTGTGCCTACGCTCCCTGCCCCCGCCCTTTCAATTAAACTCAGTTGGTTGAAACCACTGCTGGGTAATGTAGAGGCCTGTGTTCTACATCATTCTTTTTGGATACCATACACTTCAATCTCAGAGGGAAAGTACCACAAGGGGGTCATGCTCCTCAAATGCTCCAGCAGAATACCGCTCTCGTGACCTCATTAGCAAAATGGCCACCAACAAGTTTCTTCACTATGTGAGCCATAGTCTAAGCCAGGGTAATATAGAATAATTGCACTTCCCAATACGAGGCCATTTTGGAACTATGCCCTACATAAACCACCATTTAGGGTGAGGTCTGGTGACGTCGCTTTAAATTGCGCAGTCTAAACTCCTAGTATCCCCATTAATAAGCCCTAGGGTAGTCCATAACCCCCTGTAGAACCCCGTTTAAGGAGTCCAGATTGTAGCTCATGTGATGAGATCTGTCCGTCTTTCACCCTGCCGGAAAGCGTCTCCCTTGGCCGACCACGCCCCGCCAGGGCTCGAAACGCAAAGGCCAAGGGTCCGCAACCTCAAGTGGGGCTCGCTTCATGAAGGGGAGGGTCTCAGACTTGGGGGGTCCATTGGCTATGGTTCCCAAGAATGTTCAAACTATTATAGACGTACTCAGCCATCTGTATCAGCTTTACACTATTTGAAGCTTCTTGATGTTTGGGACCCTGCTACTTGACTGCATTTCAAAAACAGGGAACTGTCGTAGCCGCATGGCTCATGTCCCAGTATTCTGCATGGAGCCATGAACCCTAAACCCTATATAACCCTTATTTCACCCCGTATAATCCCCATGTAACCCCCACATCGAAAGGTTCGAAGAACAGCATTGTACGACAGCCGCTGCATGGCTGCACCCTTAACTAAAAAAATCCAAGTCGAGGCACTCCAAAGCTCTATATACCATCATGGGCCTTTAGACCTACACATATGTGCATCCTAGTAGGGGTTTCTAGATAAGACATTTTGAATGAGATATTGGCGCACACTCCAGCCTAAACCCAAAACCCTTAACCGCATCATGTCCCGCAAGGGCATCTCTGACATCAAGTCGGACTCAAGGCTTCCCAAAACAACTCGAAACAGCTGGCACGCAATCCACAACCCAAAAGCTTCAAACCACCAGAACGATGCTATAAACCTAGACCCTCCGCGTACTCTCGAGATACCCTAAATTCAGTATTGGGGACCGTCTTCCCCTGTTTAAGGGTACAAGGAGGGTCCTGTAACTCTCGACCACTCCATGTTTGGCAAGAGTCCGGTTTAATGCATAAAGTACTGGGTGAGCCGTTTCGAGGTTCGGCTTCAGCTGGCTGGTTGGCAGCCTTAGAAGGGTTTAGGGCTTAAGCGTTTAGGATAAAGAGTTTAGGTCTTTATAAGGGATAGCTCTAGGGATTTACGGGGCACCTCCGGAAGCTAAACTACCATGAAACCTGAAGCCAGGAAACAGTTGCGCATGTCCATTGTTATAAGAAAATGTATGGCATCAAGGTCCTCTTTCTACGCCGCTTGTGAGGAAATCTAAGAGAGCACAATGTCTACTAACAGAGACCAGAAAAAGCTGCATTTGCAGTCGTTGGATCCCGTAAAGGGGGCCCAGGTTATAGGATGGCATGCTGATAGTGAGCACCCGCCCACCCCAAATGTTGAACATGCCCCCCAATATCTGTAAGAGCTCAGCGGGGGCATGTTAAACAATTGGCGGGGGGGGGTGTTGAATATGAATGGCTGCCCATTCATCCTACAACCTCTATAGCGGGCGATTGAGCTCGGTGGGATCCAGCTGACTGCTTTATAATGCCCACATGACTCAGCTTAGCTACAGACATGAACAATTAAGTCCATCACAACACAAGTAGTAACCATGCAGGATTTTGCCTGCACTAAGCTCTTGGAGTGGATGTTGCAAAGGAATACAGGCGCCCTGCGCTTGCGTCTATGCTTAGGCAAGCCCTCTTACTGCTTGTTCCTTATCAGGGTCTCCAGAAAAGTCAAGTCATCACTGGGTTTGCATATGGGGTTTGGGTTTAAGTGAAGGCTAGGATTCAGGGCCAATAGGCGCATATGGGATGTATACTGGTATTCCCAAGCCTTCCTGCAGCACACAAGGTTTCAGCTTGAAAAGCTTGGGAAAGGTAATCCATGTGCATATATAGGGGTTCCCCAAAATTAGGGGTACCATTTTGGGGGTCCCCATAGGTTTATAGCATTTTGGGGTCTATATTGGGCACCCTATTAAGGCAACTACCATGAAATTACAAACATATGCGCACGTGGAATGGTCTTGAGTCTTGTACTTCACATCGCAGATCGACTCCCAGAGCCAAATACCCAAAAGGCAGCTGATGTTATGCTATGTGGCTTGTTCCGGGCTTTATTTGGTACACCAACTATGCTGCACGGCGGCTACAAGAGCATTTCGGCAGAAGTTGGACCCTCATTTGGGAAAGCTACTCATTTTGAGCTTTATACTAGTTGCAGGTGGCGGTGCAGATAAGGCCACTACAGTCGCAAAGCGATTTACTTGCAAATTTTACTTCCAAAGCCTGAAATTAAGCAATTTGGTACCCATGCTAGATTCAAACCACGCATTTCAAATGCGTCTAGGCGAGGTCGCCTTATTTCGGGCATATTCCACTTACATATATATATATATATGCGTATACGCGTCATATGTAGAGGCCTGGGCACGAATCACGTTACTTGGGTGCTTCCAAAGTTGGGGGAGCTCTTTTCGAAAATGAACAGTACGGGGCTTCTCAATTACTCTAAACCCTCCACCCCTAAAATGAGTAGGATGGGCCCTCCAATTCACCCTAAACCCTTTGCTTATCACTCAGCCAAAGACTTGAAAATGAATCAACTGGGAGAGATCAGAAAGAATGGAGGACACCCTACCTTGCCTACTATCCCCTCAATAGGATTACACGGGATTATCTAGAGTTGCAGAGGGAAGTAGAAAAGAAATAGCGCCAACCATATTGTTTGGAGTCTTGGCTTGCCAAAGGGCCCATTTAAGGTATGTTTCTCATTTGAGGGGCATTGGACTTGCTGTATAATGTAAACAACCCTAGACCTTAAACCCTAAACCCTTTTTTGCATTAACCCTAAATCCTGAAATTTTGCAAGGTCGCCACTAGCCCGTCTGCAGCAACGACGCGGCCAATGACCGTGGGATAGATACGGTCCTAGGAGCGCCATGCTTCGGGTTTAGGGTTTAGGGTTTCTTTATGTTCTAAGACTCTAGCACCTCATCTGGCGCTCTTTGGGAATCATAGACTAAGTTCATATGATTCAAAAAGGAAGCTCGTGGCAGTCCCTTGGCAGAGTTGAGCCTTCAAGATTGTTGTATGCATGTGAGCTATACTCTAAACTCTCAGTATCTCCCTTAATAACCCCCACAATAGTCCCCTACATAATCCCCTATAACCCCCTTTAAGGATTCTAGACAATAGCTTATGTAGACGGCAAATGCCTAAACCTGGGCCACGGACATGAAACCCTATCTCGCAAGAAGCCTTTAGGTTTAGGGTTTGGGGTTTTAGGGAAATGTACTGATATTCCTACTGGTCACCCTTCTTGTGAGAGGTGAACACTTCACAAACACC